CCCCCCCCTCCCCCCACCTTTTTTTTTCCCCCTTTCCCTTTCTAACCCATCCATCTCTTCCCCCATCCCCATCCCCATCCCACGATTCGCGCGCGTCCCAAGATACCTAGCCGAACCGATCGTGAGCTTCTGTTCTGAGCAGAATGCTGAGAAGAAGAAGGTTGGTTAGTGGGTGGGTGATACGCACGTACAACCAACTAACTAACTAACCAACAAACTAACTTTACCTACCTACCTACCTACCTACCTACGTACGTACGTAAGAAGACGAAATCCGTACCGGTACTTACCTATGGATGGATGGATGGATGCCTGGGTCGATCGGATACCCCATCTTATCCCCATCTTCATCCCCATCTCCATCCCCATCCCCATCTTATCCCATCCCAGCTCCGTCCCGATTCCCCGGCTCTCGTCTCGTCTCGTTCCCGCAATTCAGATCGACGACAGCCTGCAACCACCCACCCTTCTTCCGGCTCACCCCCGTCCCCCCTCCATCCCCCTACTGGAGCGGTACGCGTCCGTGAGGATGGAACTCGACCTCTCCCCTAGTCTCCCCCCCCCCCACCATGTCGTACCACGCGAAGGATGCATGGCTGGCTACCTATTCCTCTACTCCTCTACCGGTACCCCGTTCCGTGCAGAGAAAGAGGACGCGCTCCTCTCGACTCACCTCCACCCAGACCTCGCTCGGGCCTGCTAGGGGGGAAACAAAAAAGAAAAAAACAGAGGATTCAATGTGTAAATTAGATGTACATGATGAGGAAATTAGAACGGTTTTCGAGGTCCCGAGTAGAACGAACATACCGGCCCAGAAGCGAGATTCCCCCCTTCGTTTTGCTCTCGTACACATCATGCGCCGTGTCCCTGGGTATCTATTTACAACAAAAGATGACCGCTCGCGTTCCACCCGGCCCGCCCCCGTCCCGCCAATGCCCTATGCTCACTCCCCAACGGAAACAAGACAAAAAAAAGAAAAAAAAAAAAGGAAAAAAAAAAATCCCCACATACCAAAGACACCGAAATAATGGACCATACCCTTCATCCTTCACCCTTCACTCTGCCCATCCCCAGCTCTGACCCCTAGCGCACAGACCACCACCAAACTTCATCGTCACACCCAACACGAGGAGATGCACAAGCAACAGCCCCAAGGTAAGCCACCCGACCCTGGTACCGATCGCCAGCTCCAAACCCGCCAGGAGCATCAAGGGCCACATCACGACGTCCCGGGAGCCAAGGGGCGCGCACGGTCTGGTGAGGCTCAATAGCTTGCCGAGGAAGAGACCCAACCTGAGGAACAGCTCCAGCACTTGCCGGTTCCTGCGGGCCCAAGTTTCCGCATAATGTCTGTGTATCGAAAGCCGGTGCTGAAATCGTGAGAGCGCCGTTGATGGCGGCGGCATCAACAGTGGGGTCTTGGGATTGACTGGCGGTGACTCACTGCGACGCGGGCTTGAGGATCGAGCATCTGAATTGGATTCCAGGAGTAGTTGTGAGCTGGGGGGTGGGGGGGACAATGTAGGTTCAGTGGCATCTTCGATGTATGCGCCTGAGCGTACTCGTTTGCTCGGTTCTGTTCGCCATGAGAAAGAAAATTGGAAATTGCGTGGGAAGAACATACCGTTGATTGGACTGCCTGGCGGCATCGGAGATTCGAAAGACTGAATGATCCGGCCACCAAGCCCCGGGTTACTCCCGTTCCTTGCGGGGGTCTCAAGCCCCTTTTCTGTGCGAATCGCGGTGAGGATGTCGTTTGCACTGGGCCTCTCGCTAGGATCCAATGCCAGCAGTCGCTTCAAGAAGTCGTAGAGTTGATTGGGTAGTTCGGGTCTTTCCAACCTTTCGTCATGGAAGCCAGACCAGCCACTGATCTCTGCCCTGAGCATATCCATATCCTCAAACTCTTCTTGAATACTGTCGGCGCTCTTGTAGGGCAGTCGCCCAAAGCACATGAAATAGAGGATCATGCCGAGACTGAAGATATCCGACTTCGTAGTGAAGTTTCCATAGCGCCCGAACTGATCTTGCTTCAAGACTTCTGGAGCGCAGTATGATATTGTTCCGGTGGACCCAGTGGACTTTCGAACCACATTCTCCGCCTGGACTTCTCCAAAGTCACTGATCAAGCATCGGAACTCATTTCCATCCCTGTGGAGCAAACAGTTGCTGGGCTTGAGATCTCGATGGATGTAATTTGAAGCGTGAAGATGCGCGAGCCCAGACGTGATGTCCTTGAAGAACGAGTAGATTTCTTCGAAAGACAGCTTCCGCTGTAAAGATTTTAGATCGGGCCGCTCCCCCTGTCCTCTCGATCGTCTTCGCATTTGCTCTTTCAGTTGCTCCTTTGTACTTTTCATCTGCGGAGGGGGACCAATGATATAGTGTAGCAGATCCCCAGAGTTACAATACTGTTGCAGAATAAATGCGCAAGGAACAGAGGGACTGAAGCGGTTGAGTGTGACATCTTCCAACCACACGTGGCGGTAGGAGACAAGATTGGGGTGTGATAGTCCTTGGAGAAGCTGGACTTCAATGAGAACTGCTGCTGTCAGCTGCCATAGACGCTCCACCCAGATAAATGTATATACCTTTCTCAAGCCAGGCATGGTCGTCACCAACCGGCACTCTCTTGCATGCGAATTGGCCTAGTACAGTCAGCACCTCCATATACAGATTTTAACCCGTGTGCATACCCAGCGAGACGCCATCCAGCTCATGGCGCACCAGCAGCACCACGCCCTTCCCACCCCTTCCGAGCTCCTTTTCCTCAATGAAGAATCTCTGGAAGTAATTCGGACTGAAGGCTTCTTTTTTGATACTGTGACCCGTCTGTGGAGTCGGCGTTCTCATTAAAAATTCCGCATCTGACACTGATCCCCCAGTACTACTCGCTGCGGATGAAAGGGCAGGCTGGACGAGCCTCCTGACCGGGCTCGGTGGTGATTCATGTTCTTCTCCACCATCATGGGCAGCCTGCAGCATGCGAAAGTATTCGGGGCTGATGAACGGAGAGGCTCGATGTGGAGAGGATTGCCTTTCGGGGGACGGGGCGCGGAAAGGTCGGTGGCAAGTTGGGCAGTCGGAGAAGGAAGGGGAAGGAGTCGCCCCTCGCAGGATCAGCTGTCGGGTTTGAGGGTCGCGGATGACAATGGCATCGTTGTGACGACTAGAGGAAAAAGTATTAGCATTCAGGTTAAGGTATTCTATAGGAGTAGTATAACGGGGTTATGATGGCGCAAGTTGATACTCACAGGACAATCTCACGGCTATCGCGAGAGGAGTATGGGACGAGAGACATAGCAGATCGCAGACGGTTGATGTGATTAAAGGGACATGATGAAGATATCCCCAGATACTCAGCTTATGAGCATTCGAGATGTTTTGTTTGTTGTTTGATAGCAGAGAGAGAATGTGGGTCGAGTTTGGGGCTTGCTGATGGCAACCTTATTTTGTTTTGTTTGTCCTTACTTAAATTAAAATAAGTACTTCCCCACAACTCCAACAACTAACTTCCTTAGCCCGAAGCCCACCCAAGCGAGAAAAACAACCTTTCTTTCAACAACATTCCATTTCATCTGTGGCCATTTTTTAAATAAGAGCTATATAAGTTCAATGCCTTTCTGCTTACACGTTAGTACACTGCTTAATTCTCTAAATCTTGGTTGGAGAATTGGATCCTCCGTATAGCCAGTTCGAATCAGGCTTCGGCTGCTCGTTTTGTTTTGATCGATAGGAGCTTCAGATTGAAGACTAACGACGTCATCGGAACTTATCTTTAGATTCTTGACTCTTGAGAGAAAGGCGACCAATGCGGACTTAAAGCAGGACTTTTCAAAGCTGGAAACTACCAAGACAAAAGGAAATCTACTCTACGTAGGTAGTGGAAGACAAGGACGAAGTAGCTGAATCTAGGATCCAGATATCTCGATTTTTTATTTGCTTTAGCTGACGAAGCTGCCTCTCTGTTGCGCTCTATTCAGAATTAGACAATAGACCTTGATGCAGCATTGAAATTGCGAATATTCTCGATATTTCGCATACCCAAGTTGCCTACAAACTCCACTGAGACTGATTCGTGGGCGTTGTCTCTGCAGATCTCCAAATAATCCGCTTCTCCTCTTCGCCGTCTTTTCCTTGGGCGCCCTGAATCTCCAATATCTTGCCGACCAGTGCCTTGAATCCAACCGGAGACTTGTTGCTTAAAGCGCGGGCCAGCTAATCACATGGTTAGTTAGTTAGACTCAAAGATAAATTCCAAGATTCTGTATCAGCTCACCCGATCCAAATCCATCCAGCAGTGTTCATCGCGCACGAAGACGATTTCCTCGAGTTTTTTCAAATCACGCAGCAGCATGATCATCGCTTTCGCCGGGCCATTCTTCACTCCCGCCTCGCCGTACCCTCTAACCACACTCCGCTCCACCACGACGATCTTTGTAACGCCGGTGAAGTGTTTCAGGATCGTCTTGCACAGACGCTCGAACTCCGATACGTCGTTGGGGAACATTCTCTGGTGGGAAGCATGGGTGACGTCGTTACGCGTAAAGTAGATGGCGAGCTCCAACTGCTTGATCTGAGCGACAGCGTGGTGCGGGACTCGAGAGAGGAAAGTCTTGAGACCCTGTTACACGTTGAAGAACAAGCAAATCAGCCATCGTCATCTTACACTTTCGATCTCCAGAAATGGAAAACGCACCAAACAAAATAACCAAAACAACCAAAAATAGGAATCGCAAGTGAGTGCACCAAGCTCGTGCCGACCACCTCAAGCAGAGACTTACATGCATGTTCGGCTCATACGTGCTGCCCCAGGGGCCATTACCCAGGACGAACTTGTTCTGGCCATAGAAGGTCGTGCGCGCCTCGTCCCCAATCTGCTTGGAAACGCGAATCAGACTCGCGAAATGCTTCTCTGGCCGCTGGACCGGCATCCGATGGAAAAATTCGTCCATCATCTGTGATGCGGGGGTTTCTGGCGCCTTGCGCGCCTTGCGAGAAGATACAATCGAGATCGGATGGTCAACGTGGAGGAGGAGGTCGTAGATATTGTTTCGTAGCTCAGGGGGGAGAGATGTCAACCCTGGCATCTTGACTGTTTGCTGTCGAGTCGAAAGGTATTCTGGTTTTTGAATATTGAGGTGGGAGGATGATAATTTGTGGGAAGATCAATGACCCGAAGGTTGTTGGAAATAGACGGCGTTTGACCGTTGTTGTTAGTGTCACCTTTCAATAAGGAAGTAGTCTAGCACCCCAACTAATGGAAGGCGCGATACAGACTAGCGCAGGTCGAGCTAAGTGTATTTGACTGAGATTTTTCGCTCCCTTCTTCTCAAACAATACCTTTCTACCCCCCTCATCTTTCTCCAATATACGTCTCTTCTGCACACACTTCCTACTCTCTGTTCTAGAACCTACATCTTCCACCTTTCTCTGCAGATTTTATTCAAGATAGTGACTAGCGGGTTCGTTAAACGTCTATATCAAAGACGTTGTTGATAAATAAATTGAATATCAACTTCGCTCTAGCATTTACGAGGAAGTCCTGAAGCGGGCCAACAGCATCAAATGTCAATTCCCCAGAATTAATAAAATCTTTTCTGTCTATCCGAGCAGAGCTACATAAAATGCTACTTCCATAAACATATCTTGCGTAAGAGAGAGCAAAAAATACCTACAGCATCAGATCTGCGCTCAATCTATCGCTATCGTCGGGTTTGAAGACATGTAGCTGTTTGTATATGAAAACATCGATTCACCAATAGGCTTCCCTAAATTCGATTCGCTCGGGACGCGTGGTAATACACTCTGTTTCTCCAACAACTTGAGCTTCCTCAATGCGTATAGTACCTGCTATACCTGATTGAGGCACGGCACAAGTGCGACCATACTTCATTTCACCGATGTTGCTTGGCAGCAAACTCCTGATTGCATTACAGCAGATGAACAGGTGGATAAGAATGGGGCATAACTACTATTGCTCAAATACTAAGAAGCACCAGAAAGAGAGAAACGGTATAGAACTACAGACCAGCCAACGGGAGGGGTGACTGCCAATAGGGGATAATTAAGGTCTCAAGAGGAAGAAGCGGATGACGAGATTTGGTAAACTTGTGCTATGATCATAATCATAATCATAATAGTAATAGTTGAATATATTAGTGCAAAACAGAGGATAGATATATGAAGGCTAATGGATAGAGCTGAAGAATCTTTACATCTGACGAAAGCCGCACTCCACTGAATGAGGCCGAAGAAGCAGCCGCCATTTAGCTCTGAAAAGAGCTCGCCGCTCGGTCGATCGAGGTCAGGTATCACGTAACGGAGTTGAGTCAGTGTGCAGTAGCATCGCACTATGATTTCCAAGTTCTTTACCGCACTCCGTAAGCTTCGACCTTGCAGCTGCCACCAGCTGTCCCATTCGCAGATGGACGTCTGATTTATGTACGGAGATCCCAGGTAGTCATCTTACGTCTCTCGGAAAGGAGCCGGCCGGCGGCAGTGACGAAATGGAATGGTCAATTCCATTGGTGATATGTACATTGCAAACCCCTCACCCAACATGCTGAAAGCGAACCTCACGTCCGTTCTGGGGCCAGAACGCCCGTGTCGAGGTCCTCACTTGGATTTTCTTGTCCCTTTGTGCCCGATGAGTCTACGAGCATGGCTGTGGCTTCCCTCGAGGACCAATTCACGCTCCACGGCGACAAAATAGACGGAGATACTAATCGTGGGCCGGGATATAGCCTTGCCATTGAGCTTTCTCAATCGCGAGGCCAGATGTCAATCTTGCACGAAGGAGCCTTCATTGTTTACTATTTGCATGGCACAGATCCTGGCCTTGACAGGTCTTGAACAAGGACTCGGTACATTCCGTTCGTGCCCACGGAATACTGTCAGTTGATAGTTAGTATACAGCATCATTAAAAATTGTCGGGGAAAGCTTCGGGGTGAACAATGAAGGCGAATCGAGTTGGCATTCAGCTTGACGGTTGGAACTTTCATTCTTCCAGCCGGTAATTTCTTGTCCTGGAGGTCAAAAACCAAATCTGACATCGTTGACAGCGCGACTCGACGACATGTATGGGCACAAGAAGATCTTCCTCGTTGGGTCCACTTAGTATGGGCTGTGGTCACTGATCGCTGGGTTCTCTTTATACTCATGATCGGTTGTGTTTTCCATCTGTCGAGGCTTCCAAGGAACAAAAAAAAAAGGTTCCCACGCACTTGCGATAGCCGGTCGAAGCTTCTCAGCTAAATTTTTTACCCGGAACGCGGGCTCGAGCCAAATAGACGGAGGCTGATCGGCTCATCCGCATATATCCAGGAGGATGTGGAGCTTGATTGTGTACCAACATTGTACGACTGTGAAGTCGTCCCTTTGGATTAGTTGTGGAGTGATGAAATGAAAGCCGGACAAGCTGCGTCGACGCGTTTGAGCAGAACGAATGCGCCGAGCTCACCCCCATCACAACCTCATTGCAACACCATCTTCATGATTTCCCTCTCTTCACCATGCTATGAATATTTTTTTGCAGCAATATTCAATATCGTCTCGCTGCCATTAAACGTCGTGGTCCAATAGATCGTTTCCGAATCTCCTTCGACTGAAAGTCCGGTCATCCATGAGGATCGAGGAATTTGGCATTGATTCTCTGGGTAGATCCGAGGTCTCCTTTCATTGATTATTAAATTGCTTCGTACTTTTCGGCCTATCCTTCCTTCCAGTCTTCCGCAGTGCTCGCTTGGAGCCAGCGTCGTACCATGGTGGCAATACTGCTTCCCTGCTTCACATCTGCATTCCGGCTTGATCAGTAGAGATCCCAAAGGCCTGTATTCCTGTACCTTGTTTAGCCTGTTTTGCTTGTAACTTCCGTATGTGTGTCTCCATGCCTACCTGCTTGGACTGTACTGAATGAGTGTACGATGAGTGGTCTATCATTGCAAGCATGGTATGCACGAAGCGGTTGGCCCGACCTGCTATCTCATCTTTCATCTGCGGGGGACATCAACGACATTCGATGGCTCTCAAATCCAGGAACAGATGTTCACGCTCTCACATTCAGGCTGTATTGTTCTTGGCAACATGGGGCTGCGTCTCGGTTGCGTAGTGCTTACCATGGTTACATTGGATGGATGTGTTGTTTATAAACTCGAGCTCTACCGAGAAAATTTCCAACAGCAGCCTATGTTCCTTTCTCCGCCATGAAGCTCATTCACCGAACTGAGGCCCTTGTAGGGCTTGCGTATTGTGTATATGCGAGCCCACTTGGCAAGCTTGCTCGTGTGGTCAACCCAGCCATAGCCTCGAACACAACATACGACTTTATCATCGTTGGGGCTGGTATTGGTGGGCTTACAGTCGCTGATCGTCTCACCGAGGACCCCGATAGTAAGATCAAGATTTCAACCTGCATATTCTTCGCAGGCCGGGTCCTAACATGATGTAGCCTCAGTATTGGTTGTCGAATACGGCTCGTTCGATCAAGGTGAAGATACTGTTTTGGTTCCGGGGTCATATTTTCCAGTACCGTACTTTTGGCCCAGCATCTTCAGTACTCCTCAGGTAAGTGAGCCTTGATATTCGACGCGCTTTGGAGACTTCTAAACACCCCAAGTAGGGGGAAAGCTGTCGAACTGACTTTTCGGAGTACAGAGGGGTCTAAATAATGGAACATACTTTGTTCCCATGGGACGAGTTGTTGGAGGGGGATCTACCATCAATGCAATGTTTTTCTTAAGATGCCCAGCCCTGGACTACGATTCTTGGGAAGCCCTAGGCAATCCAGGATGGGGCTGGGAAGATTTACTTCCCTATTTCAAGAAAGTGGGTGACTTTTAATGCAGCGCTTCGAGACGATTAAAATTGACAATTCATAGAGCGAGGCTTTCGGGAGACCAGAGCAATCGTTTGCCAAGAGCCGAAATATAACCTGGATTGACTCCGTCCATGGTTTTGACGGGCCTATTCAAGCGAGCTATTCGCCGTATGACTACGAGTCTAGTGGTACCAGAAGACGCTCCCCCCAAATCTTGGTAACGAATTCTCTGACCTCTTCCAGCAAACTTTTGGAATGCCGCTACCTCTATTGGAATAACTCCACGCATGGATCCTAGTTCTGGGGATGCTACTGGACTTTTTTGGCTCTTAAGAGCTCTCAATCCTGTCTCGGAGACAAGATCTTACGCCAAGATTGCGCACTATGACCGAGTGAAGTCGCGTCCAAATTATCATTTGCTCCCAGATCATGCTGTGAATAGGGTGGTTTTCCGAAACAAGACAGCTATTGGCGTTGAATATCTTTCGCCCAGTACAGGAGAGATCAGCACTGCCAGGGCCACCAAAGAAGTCATCATGGCTGCCGGAGCTGTACACTCGCCACAGATTCTCCAGCTTTCTGGTGTTGGGTCCGAGGCGCTGCTGAAAGGTCTCGGAATCGATGTCGTAGTGGACCTGCCTGGTGTTGGGCAAAACTTCCAAGATCATATGGATCTTAAAGTTGACTATAATTGTGAGCATCTGTTTCGAGTTTGGGTGTCCAAGATTGGGGATTTTCCAACTAAGAATCGGCGCTGAACACAATAGTTACTTCCAATATCAAGCCCAACGCCGGCACGCTGAACACAAATGCCACTTACGATGCAGAACAGAGGGCTCTGTACGATACATCTCGTCAAGGCGCATACACACTCATTCGAAATACAGGGAACAATATAGTCCTCCTACCACTCCAGAACGCCACTTCGAAATGGCAGTCAATCATTGACAAAGCCAAGTCTCTGCGCCCGGCCTCCCTACTGGCGCCAAACACCCATCCATCGGTCGTCAAAGGCTACGCAGTCCAACGCGAGATATTGTTCAAGCAGTACGCATCCTCGAGAACTTCAGTAGGCAGTATCAGCTGGAACACAGGTCCCGAAACAACAATCTACATGATCAAGCCTCTAAGTCGAGGCTCGATCAAAATCGCCACAACGAGCATCCTCGACAACCCCTTGATCGACTTCGGCGCAGCGACTGATCCTACAGATCTCGACTTTGTTCTTGCCCTATACCTCAAGAATCGCGAGATCATGCACCAATCATCAATGCAGGTACTTGGGCCAACCGAAATAACCGCAGGAGGGAACACGACGAATGAAGACGAGTTGAAGGCTGCTTTCCGAGCTCGGATCAACCCGTCGAATGCACACGAGTGCTGCACGTTACCCATGATGAAGCGTGAGCTAGGTGGCGTTGTTGATGATCAGCTGAGAGTGTATGGTGTCAAGGGATTGAGTGTGGCAGATGCCAGCTTCTTCCCCATCACACCCGCCAGTGCACCGTCGGCAACACTATACGCCGCTGCAGAAAAGGTGAGATGCGGCATACGTTCCCTGTGAACATTTGCTGATTTGGTCATCAGGCTGCAGATATGATCAAGAAACGACACGGTCTGCCACCTTTTCGCAGCGGGTAGCCACGGTTGGCAGCGGTCAAGACAAGGCTGCACCCCTTCTTCTGTATTCATCAACGAGACCACGATTGCTTTCCCAGTCTGGAATAGCACCTACCGTCCTTTAATCCTATGACTAGTATGCAGTGCGCGGTGGCGGAAAACAATTTTTCCGTTGGGCCTTATGAGATCAAAGTAGCAATACGATACTTACTGCCTAATCACAATCTCTTGGCGGATGAAAAAAATTCCACCACCTTTGCTAAAATTACCCATTGCCTCTCAGGCTGTGGATATTTTGATATCTCGTGTTGCGCCGGTGTTCTCGCCGGTAGCGTCTACGCCAAGGGGAAAGACTGTTGGAGCTTTCCTTTGTAGTTAATAGCTGGGTAACGGACAAGGTTGGGTGCGTAGAACGAGCTGAGTAGGGAATAAGCCACAAGTGTAATAGAATTTGGCTTGAATCGGAAAAAGAGAAGCGAACTGAACTCCGTTGAAAGCTGAAGTTGACAGGCAGATTATTTCCATTTCGCTTGACAGCGTAGAGCAGATGTCTGTATACCCCCCTGTGGCTTTCGACTCGCGATAATCTGAAGACAACAAAATAAGGACGGTATGGAATCCTGCACCATGGTCGGGTAGACTCGCACGCCAGGCTCACCTTTGGACTAGGTAGCCAAAAGAAAAATTGGAAGCTACGACTCGATCTTGCAGAGCTCATCATGTAGGACTGCTTTAGCATGGAAATGGCGTATCTGGCCAACTAACATTTTTGTAGCTCCTGAATCCCCGAATCGCTGAATACTGTTCCTCGGGCCATTCCGTGGTGAGACAAGCTTAGATTGTGCTGTAATGGTCATAATCTCCGTAGCAAAAAGATGCTGGAGAGCGAGAATATACATCCACCAGGTAGCGTAGCTCAGTGCCCAGGTCGTGGCTACTATATTCTACTGCAGGCAGATCGGGAAATGACGCCGAGATTTCCAGCCGCAGTAAAACTTGTTGCCCGTGCTACTCCTTTTAATTAGTTGCCTTCATTTACCTCAAGGTTGATACTATATAACAGTTGGCAATTGCCAACCATTGCAATGGTTGGCAGTTCACAACAGTACACCGAAAAAGAACTGGGAATGCTTAATCGATGCATAGCACATTTGGAGACAAAGAGTGGTGTCAGATTTAAGACGAGCCAGAACAGTTCTTTGCTAAGCTTCATGGCGTTGGCTTCATGGCGTTGGACTTCAGTAATGCCAAATTTGCTGCTGGAATGTCCAGGCGCAGTCACGTGGTCGGTAAAGCTAGCTCAGGGGTCTAACAATCAAAACAGTAGAAATAAAGGTTGCTATAAAGGCGCTGGCGGACGAAAGGATGCCGCGACCTTTTTAACCGAGATAACTATGTGATATCTCGGCTATATGTAAGGCGAATGGTGCAGCTGCCGCTTGCTATCTATCAAGTATTTTATACGATAAGCGTGAATCTGAAGGTCATCTATTCATCGAGCCGGCTCGGCTAATAATTTACTCTTGAATATATAAACAAAGCTTGGAACATTAAACTTTTCTTCCAACCAAGCTCTACGTATAAATTCGGCGAGAAGGTTAAAGTGAATCTATCAAGGCTTGATTAATGTCATAAAAGAATGCATGCAGACTTTTACGTATACTAATGCAGTAGAGGAGGATCGTAATACCTTAATTTTAAGCACTTACAGCGAAGCATCTAAAGTTACTAGAGACATGGCTTGAAACTTCAAACTTTCCGTGAGTAATACATCTAAATTATTTTTCGGACCAAATAGCTTCAGCGAGAGAAGGAATGGCTTCACCATACGATTTTTAGCGGGGTTTGATAGGTTCTACAAGTGAACGCAAACTTTAAAACAAAACCCAAAGTAGTCCGAACTACGAACTACAAGCAGTAAATTTTACAGCCATGCTAAGAAAGTAAACGGAGTATCTTGAAGATTCACTTAGCTAAATCCGCCAATCAATTGAATAGTGTCACCGATATCTTCCGGCACAATATTTAGAAATGAATATACAACTAAGTTATTAGTCTAAAGATATTCACCATTGAACCTCGTATCAAGTCAGACCTTGAGATTTGCAGGTACATATACCCCGTCTAATTCCACTACAAGCGTATTCTTTTCTCCACCCACCCACCAACTCAACACACACGATACATAGTCGAGAACTATGTTTACTCTGCCTCGGCAGCTCTCTTGATAAACAACAGCATCTGTTTAAAGGCTGACTTAGCAGAAACTCTTTTTACTTTCTCCATTGCCAGCATCTTTCCGCTTTCCGCATCAAGCTATGAATGCCTCGTACGCAGGTCGGCAACTGCCGGTTACTCTCACAGCAATCGATATCGGATATCATAAAGATCCAGGCGGTGTTCTCTGCAAATCCATACTTGGGATCAGCAATGGCGAGCTTTACGCGTACTGCCACCGGGACCCCAGCATTACGGGGCCGGGTTTTTCTTGGAGACACCCATGCCATCTGCCTAGTCATTTGAGTAAGCAGGAGTACGATGATATAGTGTCTACGAAGCTTCAGACCGACCTGGTACAGTACTCCGTCTTCTTGATAACTTGTTTTGTTCAGGGCGAGGTTCCCAGACGTGTCAAAGATCTAACGGCCTTCTAGGCTTTTTTCGCAAGTCTTGGTTACAACCCAAGATACTTTGTAAGTCCGTGTGGATTGGAGTACCAGCGATCAAGATCGACTCCGTCATGCTGCCATCTCACAATGTGCTAACAGTAATTATAGCCGGTAACTAGTGCTTGCAACGCTGCCAAGGGTATTTTAATTGTAAGTACCTCCCAACCCGAGACTCGATTTACGAAGATAATGATTTGGCAAGACCGATTTAGCTCAAGAACCTCTACATCTGCTGTGCACCGAATACTATTGGCTGCCTCGTTTTCCGAAAGGAATTGAGCGTGGAGATGCGGAGCTGACTGTTCAAGCCTTGAACAGTCTGGGTCCCAGCCTGGTAAGATCGAATATTTCCTGGTCAACGCTAGGTTTACTCCGTGTCTGCTAACTTTTTTTTTCTTTTGCTTAGCAAAGTACCCTCAATTGGTGTACGAACTTCGGAAAGGCCAACAGGTATGTACAGAAGTGTTTCCATTGAAGTTTTCCGTCGCTGACTTTTGGCAAGCCTTGGTGTAGCAACCCAGTTCCTATTCTTTCCATTCCTCCCTGCCGAGATTCGGGCCATGATCTGGGCCATGGCCGCAAACCACCCTCGGTTCTTGGAAATTGAACATCAACGACTTCCGACGCATCCCCACTCAAGACATTTTGATGCTTTCTACGCCGTGTCACCTAGCTCTCGTAGAGCACCGCCAATTTGGAATGCCTGTACGGAATCGGCTTTCGAAGCTGCGAAATACTACAAATACACTGAGCTTGACTTTCAACATCCCTTCGAGCAAGAGAGAGCTGTCTTGTTCAACCCAGCTGCAGACATTATACTGTTTCGGTCAGGTTCCTGCCTCACGACTCTCAAGCAGTTCTGCGCAGTAGTGGGCTTCCGAGGCTTGGATATTCGCCAAATCGCTGTTTCAAACACGGAAAGCTTCCACCAGTGCTGCACCTGGGATCTTGATGACCCCCTTCATTTCGCTCTGTCTACCCTCTCCACTCGGGTTGCGGTCTACAACAAACTCACTATGATCACTCTCTTGGGCGGATTTGTTTTCGTTCCCGGAATTCAAACCATTTTCTTTCCAGGAATTCGGCTGGCCAAGATATTCCTCATCATCGACTCCAACCTTGCCCGTCTACGCCATGGAGGTATTGACTACTCAACCACCTGTCGTCCAGCAAAAGTCCCGGGTAGAGACGAAGCCGAGACAAATATCTTGAGAGACATCTCGGACCACCACTCGCTTGTTCTGCACGCTGTTCCAGAGTGCCTGCCTGAAATTGAATGCGTGAGTCTGTACTCTATCGGTGCAGAGGACAACGGCAACACGCTATTTTCAGCTCTGACTTTCAGCGCGGAGCGTTTCCATCAACTCGGTCTCCACCTTCAGGACTCGATCAAGACGATTCAAGATACAACTGGTTGCCGAATTGTCTTTCCGGAGACCGGACCAAACCATCTCGAGCACAACCCCGTTGTTGAGCTTGGATTCAAGGGTACATGGGCATCAGTCGCAGAGGCTGAGAGCGTTGTTTTGAGTCTACAAGTAAGCTGTTCTCGCCGGTATCCGTACCCAATTCGTGCCTTCACTAACGGTCAAGCAGGAGGATGTACGCCAAGGTCCAAGCATCTCCACGTACCAGAAGCCAAACATCCACGTCGAGCCATCAAAGATGTCACAGAGTGGATACATACTCCAGGTCTATCAACATGGACACCCGTCCCAGAGATACCACCAACCGGTTCGCCAACAACAATTCAACATGCCGAGCGGGAGCGGTCGACGCTACGCTAATGCACTGAGATTGATGGCTGCCCTGGCAGGACTTCGCTCGCAAAACCTGAGCCCAATCGACGAGGATAGGTATCTGTTGGTAGAGCGATTCTACCGCAGAATAATTCTTGATGAGCAGTAAAGAAGCCTTATGGCACAAGTTCTCAGACTCAGAGTCAACGCCGCTCATGAGTCTCGGGATCACACGGTTCTCTCCAAAAGTTTTCCGAAATTACCCGGTTCCCTCGTCCTCGCAACTTCTTTCAGCTTGTCCCTACATTTTCTTACATGGCCTTCAAGATTCACTCGAAGAAATCTTTGAGTCTTTTACACTTTCCTCAAAAGTTCTACCGCGCTCGCGAATGCTTATTTGATCTTCTTTGCATGGGTTTTCGTCCAGGATCTGGGGATGGGATATGGATATGGATGATGGTTTTTCGTGCACCCTTCGGAGACCTTGCAGTGTTGCCAGGCATCCGATAATAATCGGTTCGCAGTTGAGGACAGAATTGAAACCGCGGTGGGAAGGACGTTGGAGGCGTGAACGTGGCCTTAGAGTCACGAGCAGATAACTCAATGCAATAGCGATGATTTAGACATACGTAGTATACTACATATCCCATGGTGAACTCTGCGTAGAGAGTTTGGTGATATTTTCCTGTTCAGCTTGGACTACTTACTTATTGCACCTTAGCGCAGTCTCAAGCTTTGCGCTGTCTCAGGTCTCAGGCTAGTCATGATGGGCTGAGATCTGTCAACGGCAGGCCAGCTTGTCGGGATCCGAACTTGTCTTCTTGGGTAGGACGGTATTGTACCTCTTGGGACCGGAGAGAGGAAAGCAAGTACCGGTCGTAGCAGACGATTGAGAGCAACCTTGGCTATAGAGCAATTGAAGACTTCCACGGGGGCAAGGGGAAGAGAGAGAGAGAGAGAGAGAGAGACGTTCAAGAAGATGGAGGCACTTAGCGCGAAGCCAGGTTACGAAAGTACAATATAGTACGAGAAATACAAGACGAGGTAAATCGTACAAATACCGACGGCTCTCTACGTTCGAGAGCATCCACACAACACAACACAACACAACACAACGTCAATCCAAGGTCAACAATAACAAGGCGCGTTCGCGTTCCGGATAATAATACCTGTACCTAATCAATCCTCGTACCTCGCTCATATCGGCCGTTTGATTGGAAGCCGTGCCCGCCCAGCTACTGCTGAGCAGCTCCAGCCACATTTATTATTAGAAACTTGGAAGAAGACAAGGCAAAGAAAGACCCAAGTCAATCCCAACCATCAAACTTCGAAACTCTCTCCCCCTCAGTCGCTTATTCCCTCATCCTAATTTTCGAGAATCCATTCCATCGCTGACTGGCTCACCATCGACGCTGACATCCATTTCTCTATTTGCTTATCCCAGACACAAATGAGGTGTTGCTGACGACTTTGTGGTCGACTTCTCTCCTCTCCTCTCCTCCTCCTCCTCCTCCTCCCTCCTCCTCCTCCTCCTCCTCCTCCTCCTCTCTCTCATCTCCTCAGCGCCAATAATTATAATTACCTGTTACTCGGTCTTACTTACTCGCACCGTGGGTGTATTCTAGTCTCGCCATCCTCGCCCGCAGTTTGCCGGAGAGAGAGTTCCAGCCAGCCAATCCATCCGAAAGCATCCCAACCCGACCCAACTCAAACCCGACAACCCCACCGACCTTTTTCGCATCTCTCGGGCATGAGCATTCCGTTCTATCGCATCTCTTCGCGAATCCCACTTCAATCATCCTTACAGAGCCACCGCCACTGCGAGCGTCGTTAGGAACCGCGCGAGGATGCATCTATCGGGCTCGCTGGAGGCTCGCCAGCAGGGCCAGTCGGGGGGAGCGCCTGGAACTCAGCCAACCAACAGTCTGCAGCTTTCAATCACCAGCTCACCTGCAGCTTCGCCGACCTCCTCATCGAGTTCTTTGCCCCCGACTGCCACAGACACGCTGGATCTTGGGCCTGGGATCGGCGAAACCAACACTGCCGTGTTGATCGTAGGTCCTGCCTCGAGGTCCGGGCCTCTTGAAAGAGAAACTGACATGTGGAATAGTCTGTCATGGCAGTCCTCGGTGCCGTATGCGCTCTCACAATCGGCTTCATCCTCCTCCGCAAGATGCGGCTGAAGCACAAGAATCCAAAATACGTACCGACGCCATTCCTCAAGAATGCCTGGCAGAGATGGAACCCTTCGATTCGACCCTACAGCACTGGCGCGACCGAGTCCCTAGAGCCCATATCCCGCAACGGCTCAAACCAGGCATCGGCGACGGTTCACGCTGCGACAGGGGCCGTGGTGGACAGGGCTGCCAGTGTGAGATCGGTGATGACATTACCTGCGTACCGCGCGAATGCGCTTACGAACGAACGAGTGCTGGGGAGGGAGGGAGAAAGAGGAGGGATAGATGTGGTGGTTGAGTTTCCAGAGGCACCGGAGGAGGAAGAAGAGAGGAGAGAGGAGGAGATGGAGGCGCTGTACCAAGTCCGGCTTGCTCGTCGCCGCGAAAACGAAGAGAGAGAGGAACGCAGGCGATTACGAAGAGAGGCCCGGGAACGAGGCGATTACGTCGCACTGAGAGCAATGGCTGCTAGCGCCAGAGCAGCCCATGGAGCCAGTGCCGGACAGACGGTCGAGGAGCTGCGGGCTGAGCATGAACGGATCAAGAAGGAGAGGCAAAAACCTGTTGCTGCAGTCGCATACGGAGATCTTGGGGTCGCGAGACACGATGGCACGAGGATACGGGCGAACAGCGTGGATAGCGAACACCAGGGCTTGCTGGGCGACGCGGCTAGTATTGCAACTACCTCGCGTCATCACCACCGGCGTGAACGCAGCACGTCTTCAATCCTCAGTATCGATACGCAGAACTCCGACTTACCCTCCCCGCGCATACCCTCCCCGCGCATCATCACACGATCAAGAGGGAATTCCAATGTGAGCCATCAGACAAATAGGAGACCCTCAACAAGCCCTGAGGGGAGAGCGGGCAGTAGTCCCGAGATGATCAATCAAGAGAATGTACCGCCGAATAGCCCACCTAGATACGAAAACACGTCCTCAGCCATACTGCGTGACGAAAATTCGCATCCGCCTCACGAACCGCCGCCGGACTACCAATCTCCCATCCGAGGACGAGGCGAACTTCCCAGGAACGACTCTCCCCTCCCGCCTTCTCCCATCCGAGGACGAGGCGAAATTCCCAGCAACGACTCTGCCCTCCCGCCTATGTCGCCCGTCTCCCCTCTGTGCCCCGATTTCCGACTCTCGAGCATAGCGATATCGGTAGACGGTGACGGGGAACCGCAGAGCCCAGCTGGGCACCTGGCGAGCGAGAATCGGCCGAGCAGTACGAGTGCGACGCAGCTGCCTTATTTGAGCCCGCTGCCAACTATACATGTTGATCCCGCATCCCCTAGCATTGGGAGCACCGACGATGTCTCGCCGCGACGCTAGCCAGCGGCTCAAGATTCATACCGAATATGAGACTCGGCGGACGTCGAAGGGCGAGAAGATGAGGATACGAAATTATGAGCTATACTATATACAGAAACTTTATAGCCAGATCGACGCGTGTATGTATTGCACCTTTTTCAGTTCAGATGTGGAGGAGTAGGGGAAGAAGAGAAGAGGAGACAGAGCTGGGGATGTGTTGAAATACCCGTCGTCTAATTATACCGTCTACTATCTATTTGTTTATATGCTTTGTTGATTCAGCAGGGAGCACGGCGCCAAATTTCTTTGCTTTTCCTTTTTTTCGGGCGTTCCCACCGATAATGGGAATGGCAATATGCTCCTATTTTTTTTTCCACTGGATGGGTATGCCATAATATATATGAAGCATATAGAAAAATATACTTGATATGTATATATACAGAGAAATACATATATGTGTGTGTATACATACATGTGGAAACTACCTCGCCAGCATCTCCTCCCGCCCGACTCATCTGAGCCCTGGACTCATCTGGTCATTGCAACTGATTTTGAAGTTGGAAGCTCGAGCCAAACAAGCCTTTGCTAATCAGAAGACTCGAGATGTAGCCAAGCTCAATTATTCCATATATCATAAGTAAAAATTGGGGAAAATACCCGGGATGCGTTTACGGGGTTGGAGACAAGTTAGTGGAGTTTCTTGACGGGTGGAAATGTGCTTCACAGGGCGCTATCGAGGGTGGTCTAGATATGTTGCTGAGTGGGTCGAAGATTAGTACCTATTTGTTTCATTTACGGAGAAGCCGTCGTAGCTGTAAGGGATAGAGATTCTCTTTAAAAATGTCGTGCAAACCTACGAGGGGCTCAAGGGGCTTGCGAAGTGGCTTCTAAGACCGCTCTCTACGGAACGTATCGGAGCTTGCTTCTAGCGAAGGGAGGAGCAGAGACAAGCTGCTATTGGTACTGCGATCTGGCGCTCACGTGATATCTATTTATGCTTCTTCCTTCGTACGCCACACGAGATAGTATGAATCTGTGACAGGTCAAAGTCATATGAAGCAAGTAGCCAACAAATTTTTCCGTCTATTTATCAAGGCTTCAGTTGAAAGTTGCACAATTCTCAGAAGGATCACATGTGAAGCAATACAAAAGATCTTCCGATAGATAGTGGGGAGCGTCGAGATCGAAAACAAAAGAAAAGAAAAAAGATTCAAGGCTTGGTCTCCCGATACAATAAACTCGTCTTCCTGTCAACCACAAGTGGCAAGTAAGCAGATACTCGCTTCATTGCTCTTTACTGATCTGCAGCAGGACAACGAAAGCCAGAGATGCATCCTTCAGAGACCGGGACCGGCTCGTTACAGTCGATTGAAAACCGCCTCACTGGCGATGATTCTTCAAATAGTGAGTACGGAAAGCTAGAGGCTATGAGAGCGAGTGTTGACACTATATTCCAGGGAATGGGAGCTCGCCATCACATCAGATTGACGCTCAAGAGCCTTATGAAATCAAGAAAGCAGAGAGCGTGCAAGTGATCGATATCACCAAAGACTTGTCCGCTTTGATTTCACAACAGATTCAAAAAACGCCGGCTGCTGTTGCTCTAGAAGACGAGACTTCGTCTTACACCTACAGCGAGCTGGACCTCGAAGTAACAGATCTTGCAAACCGGCTCCGAGACCACGGTGTTGGTCGTGACAGCCTTGTGGGTGTGCTCTTGGGACGCAGCGCGGACTATGTGATTGCCTGTCTCGCAGCCCTGCGGGCAGGTGGTGCATTCCTAGTACTCGAACTTGCCTACCCGCCCAACTTGCTGGCCGATGTTATTGACGATGCCAAGCCGAGGGTGGTGATCACGAACGGCACCCAGGCCAGCCAGATCAACGCGGATGTTCCCCTCATCATCCTCGATGAGATCGTCAAGGGGTCCTACAAGCCCAACGGGGAGAAACTCCCACCCCTTCCGGCTGATGATGATCTGGAGCGACTTGCTTTCGTCTCGTACTCCAGTGGGACGACCGGACGACCGAAGGGCATTGCAAATCCACACATGGCACCTGTGCTCTCATACAACCTGAGGTTCGGCTTGAGTGATCTTGCTCCGGGAGACCGCGTGGCTTGTAACGTCTTCTTCATCTGGGAGATGCTGCGCCCTCTCTTGCGTGGAGCCACCGTAGTTTGCGTTCCAGACGAGGCCAGCTACGACCCAGTATCCCTTGTTGATCTTCTCGCTCGCCGAAAGATCACAGAAACTCTCGTAACGCCCACTCTTCTAGCAGCGGTTCTTTCCAGACATCCAGATATTCAGTCGGACCTTCCGGACCTTAGAACGCTGTGGTTCAATGGCGAGGTTGTCACTACCGATCTCGCTCGTCGAGCTATCAAAGCACTGCCAAACACACGTCTACTCAATTGCTACAGTGCTAGTGAGACTCATGAAATCGCTTGTGGGGATATCCGGGAGATCATCGATTACGAGCGCTCTTACTGTCCGGTGGGAGAACCCTTGAATAAGCATATCTACATCCTGGATGAGAACAAGAAGAAGGTCGATGTGGGTGTCCGTGGAGAGCTATTTGTTGGGGGTGGTCTGCTTGCCAGAGGTTACCTCAACCTTCCTGAAACGACAGCCGAGGCCTTCATACCAAACCCATTTGACAACACTCCAGGATCACGTATGTACAGAACCGGTGATTCAGCTCGCCTGCTACCTTCTGGGGTGCTAGAAATTACTGGTCGTGTCGGGGCTATGATGAAAATCCGGGGCTATTCTGTCGTGCCTGGCAAGGTCGAGAATGCCATTATTGAGCTGCTCGCAGTCAAGCAGTGTGCTGTTATCGCCATGGGCGAAGGTTTGGAGCGGCAATTGGTTGCATACATAGTTCGGGACAAGGAAGAAGCTGGAGACCGCGCAATCCCCATCATCGACGAGGCTGGATACAGCTTGGTGGCTCGCAGGACACTTTCGGCATCTCTTGCACAATACATGATCCCAGCATTGTGGGTTGAGCTTGATGAACTCCCAACTAACAGAGTCTCCGGAAAAGCCGACATCAAGAGGCTGCCTCCTCCTGGCGTTTCCATCTCCACCATATTCAATCACACCAAGACTGAGCGCGATACCAGCATCGGCATCGAGGCCATTGCGGAAATCTGGGCTACATCTCTCAATGTCCCAATCAACTCCGTGACAAAAGAGCACACCTTTTTCGACCTCGGAGGACACTCTCTCACACTTGCCGACCTTGCGACTAGGCTCACAAGAGCCTTTGGGTTTACTGTCCCGGTCGGACGCCTCGTCGTCAACCCAACTCTGGAAGGCCATTTGGAAGTTGTGCGTTCAGTTCGCGACGGTCGCACGGCAGCGGTCCAAGCTGACTTGCCTGCCGTTCTACGTGCAGACGCAACTCTTAGCGAGGATGTAAAGCCCACAGGAGCTGCAATGTGCTCACTTTCCTCAGCTCGTACCGTCTTGCTGACTGGTGCCACCGGTTTCTTAGGGGCTTTCTTGCTGGTGGACCTCCTCGAAGCAACGTCAGCTCGAATTGTCTGTCTCGTGCGTTTCAACAACCCCGAAGAAGAGGATGGCCCAGCTGGAGTGGCAAGAATCCGCAAGAACTTGCTCGACTTGGGACTTTGGCAAGACTCGATCCTGGACCGTATCGAGGTTCTTCCTGGCAATCTTTCCCACAAGAAGCTTGGTCTAAGTCCAGATGCATACAAGGATCTTGTTGGAAACGTCCAAATAATCTTTCACGCTGGAGCTACTGTCAACCTAGTCTACCCTTACGCTGCGCTACGGGATGCGAATGTTGGTGGTACGAGGGAGGTCCTGCGCTTAGCGAGTGAGAGTGGAGCGACAGTGCAGTACATTTCCACAAATGGTGTTTTGCCGCCCTCAACCAAGGCGTGGGCTGAGAGCTCCTTGATCGAGGTGGATGATGTTCCAGACAAATTGGTCGACGGATACGGACAGACAAAATGGGTCGCAGAAAAGCTCGTCCACGAAGCTGGTGCTCGGGGCCTGCCAGTACGAATTCTTCGTGCGGGAACAATCAGTGGCCACAGTACGTCTGGCTCGACAAACACGTACGATCTGTTTACTGCCATCATTGTCGAGTCGCTACACATAGGCTACTCACCGAACATCGCAGGCTGGCGTGCGGAGATGACACCAGTCGACTTCGTCAGCAAAGCCATCACCGCTTCCTCGAACGACATCACCTCCCAGCAGCGCGTCCTCCACCTCGGCGACGCCAAACCCGTCGAAACCAGGTCTCTCTTTGACGACCTCGCTAAGCTCGGCTACCCGACCAAGCAACTCGAATGGGACGAATGGGTATCTCTCTGGACCGAGAAACGCGGATCCGCAAAACGAGGAGCCGGTGCCTTTACTGCCGAAATTTTACGAGGGGGCATGCCAACCGTTGAATTCTTGAAAGACATAACGATTCTCAACGACGAAGCCACCAAGCCTGTCCTCAAGGATCTACACCGCCCTCAGATCGACGTCAAGTTGCTCGAAACATACGCTCGTCACTGGTATGCTCGCGGCTGGCTACCACGACCACCACTGCGTCTCAACGGCGCTAACGGACTCGGCAACCAAATGAAGCGAGGCCCTCTAAGTGGCCTCGTCGCAGTCGTGACCGGTGCCTCATCTGGAATCGGTGCAGCGACAGCCACAGCCCTAGCAAGAGAAGGCGCACACGTCGCCCTCGCCGCCCGACGAACAGACGCTCTCGAGTCCCTCAAGAACAAACTGTCCATCTACAGCGGCAAAGTCATCGTCTTCCGGACGGATGTGACCAAGAAAGAACAAGTCGAGTCTCTCGTCCGCACTACCGAGGAAGCCCTCGGCCCCGTCGATATTATGGTTTCCTGCGCGGGTGTCATGTAGTAAGTGTTCCAGGCCTCTTCTTCTCTTTCTGGACCTCTGGGGGGGAGTCTTTAGCCTTGTTCACAATTCGCCCTTCACGATTCTTGCCGGTCCCCCCCCCCTTTTTTTCCCCCTGGCCATGCTCCTCTCTTGTTTCCTTTGAATAGCAGGCAATACTGACTCCGCGTTCTCCCCGCCCCCCTAGCTTCACCATGATGGCCAACTGCCTCTCCGAGCAATGGGAGCAAACCGTCGACGTGAACTGCAAAGGCCTCCTCCACGTCCTCTCGTCCACCGTCCCAGGCATGCTCTCGCGGGGGAGCGGACACATCGTCGCCATCTCCTCCGACGCCGGCCGCAAGGTCTTTCCCGGTCTGGGCGTCTACTCCGCCAGTAAGTTCTTCGTCGAAGCCACGCTGCAAGCGCTGCGCGTCGAGACGGCCGGCACGGGATTACGCGTCACGAGTATCCAGCCGGGGAACGTGAGCACCGATCTGTTGGGCATGTCGACGGATGCGGACGCCCTGAAGAAGTATGGGGAGCCGAGTGGGGCGCGGGTGCTGGACGCGGAGGATGTGGCGAATGCGATCGTCTATGCGCTGGTGCAACCGGCGCATGTTGCTGTCAATGAGGTGATGATTGAGCCGAGGGATGAGCCGATCTGAGAGAGCTGATCCGGGGGAGGGGGGCGGGTGCGTTGCTTATCATATCATATTATATCATAAATATAAATATAATATAGATGGATAGCCACAAAGTAGACGGAATGAATACACGAGGGAAACGTCCAGGGCAACGCGTATGAATCAAAGAGTATAACGACAGAGCTCCAAGTATTAACTCATTTATTCATTCTATTCATTCAGTTATTCTTTCTTTCTGCACTTTCTGCACTTTCTGCACTTTCTCGGCTGTCTCGGCTCTCTCGGCTGTCTCGGCTGTCTCGGCTCTCTCGGCTCTCTCGGCTTTCTCGGCTGGCGCTGTCAGTGTCAATACCAGTGATCTAGATCCCAAATCCCACATCCCGAATCCCAAATCCCAAATCCCAAATCCCAAATCCTAAATCCAAGATCCGAAAAGAAGAAAGGAAATAGGAAACATATCAATATCAATATCAGTTCAGTTCAATTCAATCCAATTCATTCAGTCACGAAAGAGAGACCTCCCCATCCATCCATCCATCCATCCATCCATTTATCATACCATCTCAAACCCGCCTGAAAACATTTTCCCACTGCAAATTCTAATCTTTTATATTTCTTCTAATCTTTCTCCCATAAAGTTTTTTTTTTCCCTCTTTTTTTCTCCTAATTTCATTAATTTCTAATTTCACTAATTTCTTTTCTTTTCTTCGATTTTTAATTTTTAATCTCTAACAAGGATAAGAATAAGAATAAGAATAAGAATCAGAATCAGGATAAGAGTTGAGGGGTGCCGTCCGTCCGTCGCAGGAAGGGAAGGGAACGGAAGAGAGACAGAGAGGGAGGGGAGAAAGATTGGAAAAATTTTGAAAGTTTTGATGAAAAAAAAAAAAGAGAAAAAAAAAAGAGGGCGGGTTTTTCATTCGCCAAGGTGGACTCGCGGGTTTCATTCACGATGGACCCAGGGCGAGAGAAGAGAAGTATGCGAATATGCGAATATGCAAGTATGCAAGTATGCAAGTATGCAAGTATGCAAGTATGGTACAACGTTCCGAGTCCGGATGTATGTAGAGAGCAGACTCCGTAGAAAAAAAGAAAAAGAAAAAAAGCCAACGCCGTGATCGTGACCACAGATACCCGCCCATGGCCCGGAGAGAGAAAAAAAACTAAAAACTAAAAACAAAAAGCTTAGGTAGGTAGGGTCTCTCTCTATCAGAACCTAAGAAAGAAAGAAGCCCATGTTTTTAAACGCAAAAACTCCATCGATGCATGCAAGCTCTCTCTCTCCCCTCTCTCTCTCTCGGTCTATTCGCAACCATTTCTATAAAGCAGGGTCGTCGACGCTTGTTGGTGTCCGCTTCGCCTTCAAATGCTCAAAAACACTCATCATGATGATCGAACTCGGCACGCTCCGCAACACGGTCGGCAAGAAGCCGGAGTAGAAGCCCCGGAGCCCGCTCTCGGCCCTCACGTTCCGCATCACCTGGCGCAGGCCCTCCCGGTCCGAAGTCCGGGACCCCGTCACGACGCCGGCGGCTGCGACCGTGTCGCTGGTTGCGACCTGGTACCGGGTCTTGACGAGTTCGAGAGGGTGGATGAAGGCGGCCGAGCAGAAGGCGGCCGAGGCCGCTCCGCAGGCGATCTGCACCGAGGGAGCGCTGTCCGTCATGCTGCGCCTGATCTTGCCGTAGGTCGTCCACCAGAGGATGTTGAAGGGGATGTAACTCGCGATGCCCATTACGTATCCCCTATTGGAAATTCAGCATGGGTTTTTTTTGTTTCGTTTTCGCTTTTGCTCACGCTCACGCCCCCTCGGCTAGGCTACTATCTGGTAGGGCATGTGACCCCTTCGACCCAAAACCACCGATATAAAGCAAGAAAATGAAAATAAAACCGAATGCATGATAAGGATAAGAAAATAGAAAAATGAGGAATAGAAAGTTAGAAATTGAGAAGATGAGAGGAGACATTAAAAAAAATAAAAAAAAAAAATAAAAAAAAAATAAAAAAAACTGACCGGTAAAAGCCCTTCCAGCCTTCCTTCGCTGCAATGTCCCTCAACTGGTACATCAGCCTCCCCTCCCGTCCACTCCGCGAGATCTGCAGGCGCGCCTTCAGGACCTCCATCGGCGTGAACAGGACGCTGCCGGCCAACTCGGCCACGCAGCCACTCAGCGCGTCGTTCAGACTCCCGTCGCCCAGGTGCGGCAAGAAGGCCGATTGGGCCGCCTCGCGGGTAGTCAGGTAGAGGGCCGTGGCCGGGGTGACGGTCAAGATGGTCACGCCGATGCCGCGGTAGTACGCCCTGAGCGGGATGGAGAGGAGGGGCCGGCGCGTCGACGTCTGGTACTGGACCGCGATGGTGTCGAGGGGGTAGCAGGCCAGCTTGGAGATGATGGAGCCCGTGGCGGAGGCACCGACGTTGGAAAAGAGCGAGTTGGGATCCATTACCGATTTCCCCTTATTTATTTGACTGAACGTGTCCACCGGGGAGGTGGTGGCGACGGCGGCGGGCGGGCGGAGGGACGAGGGCAAGAGAGAGAGAAAAATTGGGAGGTTGCGCGTGTGTCACGTGGAGTACGGGTTGTGATCAGAGGTTGGGGATGGATTGATCATATTGACATGACATTGATATGGACACGGGCTTTGCTCTCTCGCTCGCTAATGCTTGCAGAAGGCTGACCACGACCACGACCACGATCATAATCATGACCATAATCAGAATCAGAATCATAATAATAATCATAATCATAGCACAGGTTGTTGATGGCAACCGTGTATGGGGTCAGCTGGCTATTCTCTTCAGCTCTGCGACGATCACTCTGATAGGGAAAGGCTCTTTTGGCTCGGAGGTTGAAATTCGAGAGTGCTCAAACCTGCTCAAAATGCCTGTCGGTGCCGGCCTTCTTCTCCCCACCTACCTACAGACATAAATAAGATGGGTAGATGCCCGTCTCATCCTCAGAATGGTCGATCTATTCTTTTTGTCCGATACGACACTGACTTGTTGTCGCTTTTGTCTGTTTGCCGACCTGCTTGAGAGAGCGGCAATCGACGTCCACAACCACCCCAACCTCCGAAAGGATCGCCTTCACCACTGTGAAATTGCCAACAAGGACAAGCGCCCAGCTGGGCTTATTGAATCATCAGCGGCGGTACTCCGTCTATCGATCTTGAGATCGAGATCGAGACTGTGCACGTGATCGAGACTATACACGTGACCCCACCCGCCACCGCTACCGCTACCGCTACCGCCACCGCCACCCCCCGTTTGCTTGTCCAGCCACCCAACCACCCTCCCTGCCAAGCAACGTGTGAAATCTCGCCAATCTCTTGCGACTTCATCTCTATTTGACAAGTAATTAATAAGTACTTCTCGGGCTGGGCTTTTTCGCACGCAACCCATCTGCTACCGTACCCCCTTGGAGCGGCAATGTCGGCTACCAACGCGCCTATCCCTCGGCTGCCTGATTTAATCTGGTAAATCTGGTAGCGAAAGCGCAGCGTTAATACAGCGGACAACTACTACGTACCAGTCAGCACTATCGCTTTGGATGTTTCACCCCTCCCTGCCCCGGAACCCAGACTCTTGGGGGCTCGTATTAACCACTCGAACCATTCATCCATCTATTCATTCATTCATTCATTCATTGTTCTAGTATATCGGTCATCTGGGCCAACCCAGCCAGCCACTACTCCGTTAGTACCGGTCCTGGATAAAGCAGTATGGCCAAGGTCAAGTCGGCCCACCGCAATCTACACACACAGACTGCTTAGCCCAGATTGAAAGGATATCTGGAGAGATTTCGGGATTCGGGCCTCAGGGGAGAGACTGCGAAATATCCTGACATGGGGACTCAACCCTCGGCGGTTGATCCGCGTGTCGAGTTAAGTAGCCAGCGTGGATTCTGGTGTGCCGATTTAGCCAAAGTCCAACCTTGGTCTCAGACTTCACCACTCATCTATCGTCGAAATGCTTAAACGCCCCGCTCTTTTCCCGGGGCAATCAATCTGAGTAACGCTCGCTTACGCATGCCGAGCCGATTCCGGATTCAATGTCAGCCCCTCGAAACGGGTGAAGATTATTAGTCCATCTGTTGTGGACTCCTGTTGAGCTTTATATATATATATCTATCTATCTATATATATGTAAGCTTCATGTCCCCCCCTCACTCACTCTTTTCTCTTCACCCCCATCCACTCCAGTTCTTCTGATCACTCTCCTTTACCAACTTTCCATTCTCTTCCCACGTCGTCCTGGAACGATTGTCTACCCTCTCTTAGCCGGTCTGGAATCAGCAACTCAGTCACTCCTTCACTTCACCCTTGCACACGGACGCTTCCCGTCTCTTCCAAGCCAAAGCACGCCAAACCAAGCAACGACTTTCTCTCCAAATGCCTTCCATGACTAGATCCGGCCTGGTGGCCCTTGCGGCCTCGGTCGCTACCGTCTCCGCTCACGGTTACGTCGAAGAGATTACTGCTGATGGTGTCGCGTAAGCTTGCTCGCTCTCTCTCGCTCTCTCTCGCTCTCTGTCTCTCTCTCTCTCTCCCTCCCTCTCTCGCTGTCTTTCTCTCTCTTCCTCTTCCTTCTCTCGCGTCCCTCCACTCACTCACATGACATCGGCAGTCACGAGGGATACATCATGACCACCTACCCTTACATGAACCCCCCAAAGGATAGCCCTGCCTGGTCCGAAACGGCCGTAGATTCCGGTTACGTGGGTTCCAATGATTTCGCGTCGCCGGACATCATCTGCCACAAAGAGGCCAAGAACGCCGCCCTTTCCATTCCCGTCGCGGCTGGTGGGGAGGTCTCCATGCGCTGGAATACCTGGCCTGAATCGCACAAGGGCCCCGTGCTCTGGTACATGGCCAACTGTGGTGGCTCGTGCACCACGGTCGACAAGACCACCCTGGAGTTCTTCAAGATCGCCGAGGCCGGTCTGGAAGGGGGCGTCTGGGCTACCGATGCCATGATGGCCAACGGCTTGACCGCAAGCGTGACCATCCCGGCTGGCATCGCTGCGGGCAACTATGTCATCCGCCACGAGTTGATCGCGCTGCACGGCGCCGGCGGTGAGGGTGGTGCCCAGTCCTACCCGCAGTGCGTCAACCTCGAGGTCACGGGAGGCGGATCTGATAATCCACCTGGAGTCCTCGGAACTGCTCTCTACACTTCCACCGACCCTGGTATCCTGTTCAGCCTCGCCGAGTCGACCTACCCCATTCCCGGCCCGCCTGTCTACGGAGGAAGTGGCTCAACGCCCCCTACCTCTCCCCCAACCACCCCAGAGCCCGTGACCCCCGTGACCCCCCCGGAGACCGACCCCGAGAAGAAGGAGACCGAACCCGAGAAGAAGGAGACTGCTCCAAAGACCATGGTCACGAAGACCCGCCCCGCCTCCGTTGCCACCCCTGCCCCCGGTGGCGAAGGGGAGAAGTCCACTCCCGGGGGCCAGGGCACGTACACTCCCGGAGGCCAGGGCACGTCCACTCCCGGAGGCCAGGGCACGTCCACTCCCAAAGGCCAGGGCAAGTCCTGCAAAAAGGGCAAGAAGGCCAAGGGTACGTCCGGTAGCACCGGTAGCACCGGTAGCACCGGCGGTGGCAGTACCGGCGGTGGCAGTACCGGCGGTGGCAGCACCGGCGGTGGCAGCACTGGCGGTGGCAGTACCGGCGGTGGCAGCACCGGTGGCACCGCTGGCCTCTACGCTCAATGCGGAGGCGAAGGCTACTCCGGCCCAACCAACTGCGCGTCCGGCACCTGCACCAAGCTCAACGACTACTACATGCAATGCTTGTAGGCGTCAGCTCTTTTTCTCTGCAGGCCTACCCGCTGCTACCACGCCTGGGCTTGACCATCGGCAAGATTCCCCGTGGTTGCGTTCTTGTATATGTTTGGCGCCAGCCGCCACCATCAACCCGTGTGTGAGGAAGAGTCTCTGGAAGGATCTATCTACAACTTTGTACCATTCACTTCTGCGTTTTCCCCGCCTTTCCTCTCCGCGCCGCCTAATCCTCTTCAGTTCTTTGTGCGGATCGGGAGGGAACTTGTGTCACGACAACAATAAAGAAAATTACATATTCCATGATCCGAGATCCATGATTTGTTCCATACTTGACGTGCTCTGATTATACGTATGACTATAGTTACGAAGTATCTTTCTTTTACACATATGACATGATATGATATGAATCTGATAATGTGAATCTCGGATTGAGGACTTGGGCTTGGACTTGGCCCAGCCCCCGTCGCGTCGCGCCACAACCGAGACCCCCCATCATTCGTCGGAAGGGGCACTGCAAGGATGCACGGAAAGGAGGAGGCCTCCCCTCCCTCAGCGAGCCGCCGACGGGTTCCGTATTCACTCTCGTTGTCGATCTTTCTCTGCCAGGATTCGGTCCTCGTCACTTTCTGATACTGACTTTTTGATACTGCGCCCTACGCCTACCTTTTCCTCGTCCGACCGGTTTAGCTTTCGCTTTGGATTTGGCTTTGGCTTTGGGTTTGGCTTTGGATTTGGCTCTGGCTTTGGCTTTGGGTGTCGTTTCAGCCGCGCGCGTGTAGGCACGCCCTGCATGCCATCTAATTTATCCTGTCTATCTATCTATCGATCTATCAATCTATTCATTTATCCCTCCATTCATCCATTCACCCATCGTCGTTCGTATTTATCCCTCGTCGTATTTATCCATCTCCTCGTTCCCTTGCTCGGGGTATCCTGTACCTGTGCGGAGATGAATTGATCATTCTGTTGATAATATGGCGTGCGTGTCAGTGGAATGCATACGTGCGCTGTGCGCTGTGTTTATTTGAGATGAGAGGGGGAGGAGATCAGATGAGGGGATGAGGTGGATGGGTTGGGATGGATGGGATGGGATGAGATGAATGGGATGAGATGAGATGAGACTTGAAACGAGGTGAAACGGCTAAGGAAGGGTGTAGATGATAAGCAAGATGATGGGATAGATACCGGTACCGGTAGATGGGATGGCATAGTGGGATCGCGGGATAATGCAGAGATGGATAGATGGATAGATGCATAGATGCATAGATGGATAGATGAGATGAGTAAGTCAGTGAATAAGTGAGTAGGATGGGTTGGGTTTGGTTTATAGGCCGTTTTTGTATCGATTTGATTTAATTGATTGATGGATGGGTGTTTTTGGTCTGGTCTGGTATATGTATTTTACGGAGACGAACGAACGAGCGCGTTGTAGATTAATTTGTTTATATTGTTGTGTTTAGGGAGGAGGAAAAGGAGAAGGCAGAGGAGGAGGACGGGGAAATGGAGATGGAGATAAGGAAAGAAATGATAGTTATAGAGAGAAAGAAGGAGGGAGAGAGGGAGAGACACAAGGTTCATCTCGACTAGAGAGGGTTGGTTCTAGATAGTGGAAGCTCTCCTCTTTACGGACAATCTGGGAAATCGGTTAGTACATTGGTTAATAGAGCAGTTGACCGACGAGTGTTGTGCAATTCATCTTGAATCATGCAAACTCGCTAAAAAGTAGACACGGTTCTTAGCGCGACTTTTGGCGTAAAGACATCGCGTCCCCTTTCCAACCCTCTAATTCTTAGACTTCCTAGACACCACCACTTCATATTTCATCCTGCCACTACCCCGTCTCAATCTTCTGCAATCCCCTTCTCATCCGCAATCCACACCCCGAATCATCTATATCCTTATCTATCAAGCGCAACAATGGTCCTCAAACGCAAACGCTCCGAATCCGAAATCTCCACCTCATCGTCGCTCCTCTCCTCCCCGTTATCATCATCAAACTTCATGCCCATCGACTCCCAACCGCAACTCGCCATGCCCTCCCTCTTCGCCTCCCGAACCCGGAAACGCTACCGCGACAACCGTCCTGCAGAGTCCGAGGTTCATCGTATGCCATGCTTCTTCCTGTCCGCCGACTGGCAGGCTCTAATTCCATCTACAGAACACACCCTATCACTTCTCTTCTCGGCGCAGCAACGGCCGCCCCAATGCTCTCTGCCCACCTCGTTTCGACCGTCGTCACCCGCGCAGAAACCCGTGTCTGCGGTGCCGTCGAGTCAGCCGAGTCAACAAGCTAGCCTGCACTCGTTCTGGCACGGGCCAATGGCGGCGTCGTCGACACGGCATGCTTCGCCATCGAGTGCTTACTCGGCGTCACCTGTAACGACCCCGGGAGATTCTCCGGGGGTGGACTCGATGTTCCCTGCGACGAATTGCGAGGATTGTGATGCTTCGCTGGGAGCGTCGAACGATGTGGACGCCATGGATGTGGATGTGATGGATATGGATACAGGGATGGTGAAAAGCCATGCCTGTACGGCGTGTGGAAAGTGCGTGTGTCATGGCTGTTCTGTCAGCAATCTGGGTGCTGAGCGGAGGTGTCTCAATTGTGCCGGGAGGAAGACGGGGGCGTTCGGGTTTGTGAATAGGTAGGAGGATGTTCTTTTTTGGAAAGGGTACTGAGGCCCTTAGCTGCTCTGGCTAATGGTGTTGTGGCGGTATATATCTCGGATTGAAGGATTCAGGATTAAATAATAATGGACTCTGAGACGACAGCTGATGGATGTTTGAATATGCTTCTCTTTTCAATTTGTCTCTGCGAGTCGCCAAGTGGCACAGCTAGCATAAAACAAACGGCGCTTCGCGGCCTCTTCATCGCTCATAACGCGCTAAGTAAGTACTTCTTCTTCGTCTTGCTTACTTCGTATATCCTCATTCGCCTATCTTCTTCAAGTCCATATTCTCCCTTCCCTTGTCACTACTTTCCTCTCTCTTGCCTCTCCGATCTCCGCAATTTCCCCGTATATATCGACAAACACCTACTCCTCTTACCGTATTTCCCTCCCAACCATCATCTATCTATATCTGCGACCATTTCAATCTTACTCATTACCAATCAAACCAATCAATCAACCTTCCTGCGTTAAGCTCCTTCTCCCCCGACTATTATTAATAGATAATTCTTTTCGCACGACCCACGACGACGTTTCAGACGGAAGAACGAAGGCATGAAACAGAGTTTGAAAAAAAGTTCTTTTAAAAAGCTTACATACCTACTTACTACCGCGCTTTTTTTCTACAGTACGGACTTTAATCTAGTCCAACTTAAAGTTGGCCCAACCAACCCCTGATTGCTAATAGCCGCGTTCACGTCTCAATGAACTTGTCATAACTTGTTTTTTTTTTCTTCATTTCATTTCCGGCAAGGCACTGGATGATGCTCCACCGTTCGTACTTGTAGGAGGCAAAACGCGGCGTGCAGGCCGAGAGAACAGATCGGCGGATTTTGAAAGACCGAGAATATCCCTAGGTTGACTCACAAGTCTGCTTGCAAAGGGGCGGCCCGCTTGACCGACCTAGTGTCCTTCTCTGGCGTCTGGGACAGAAAAGACATGTCTGTTGATCCTGCCGTGGTCCATCTTCAGCGGAGGCTGTCCATTCCGTTTCGTCGGTGGAAACCTCAGATGCGTCTCCATCCATCCATCCATCTTCCCCTCTACGAAACCGGGGGGGTGGGGGGTGGTGGGGTCGGTGATGATGAAAGAATCATATGAAGGGGGATAGCGGATCAGGAGAGAGAGAGGCCTGTCCTGTTCGTTTGAAGCTTGCTCGTATACGAGAATCACACCTCTTTTATAAGGGGTACGGACGTGCTGTACCACTGCTGCCAATTTCAATCTAAAAAAGTGGGTGGTTGTTAGGTTTCGGGCAGGAAGCACGAAGCACTACTACCTAGCAGGACGATATCCCTCTCGTTTATTTCTTTGCGAGAGCAGTGCGTGCGTGCAAAAGCCGATGGAATGAATGCGTGAATGAATAGCTCGGGCGGAAAGGGGAGGAGAGGTGTTTATGCCCATCTCACTTACTTCTCTAGCTGAAGAGTTCACGAGCTTCGGAGGAGCTGTAGCGTTGATTGTTTATCGGATTCCCTTGTGGTGCCTTCCTCCGTACTCTGCTCTCACTGTCTTCTTCGGCTTGTTTGGGGATCTGAAAGCGGAAGCCAAGCGATGACTTCTTCTCACTTTATACGGCCCCTTTCTCCTTCCCGGGAAAAAAAAGCTGTAGCCGGCTTCTTAGTGAAAGCGCGATATGTAAGCTTCGAGAGAAGACACAGCCAACTCGATTCAAAATCTTTGTACACAATGCCCGAGATGAAGATAAGAGCAACTCCTCATCTCCTCCCATCTCATTGCGACGGTTCCTTGCCGATGTAAAGCAGGTTGCAAGGGAACTGCAATGAAATACTGGCGGGCATGTAGTTAGCTGCTTTCAAGTAAGCAAGCACCGATAGCACGGCAGCTTTGGCGGCAATTCTCGGTAGTAGCAGCACCAGCAGTATCTCGATCAATGGCCGAAATTCGAGCTGCGGACTGACGATTTGCCGTCAGGAGAACAAAAACCTCTATAGGTTACGATCCATCTGAGTTCACATAAGATCTTGTTCGCGCGCTCTTCTTCTAATCGTGTGAACGGCATACTGGTTCGAGAGTTGGTAGTTCGTATAAGAGGACTTGTGATATTTTCAAACTTCCCTCTTCTGAATGAACGCTTATAGATATGGACTGCCATTTGCCCCAATGCTCTCCGACGACGTAAAGATCAAGTCCTCGAAATGATTTTGATACGATTCACCCATCCATTTTAAGGAGGCTGTTAGCACGCGGGATCTTTTCCTCCCATATACCTAGGATGGATGATGTGCCCTACCCAATGGCAGCTATTCCATCCCATCAGAATCCATCAACGGAAGCAGCAGACACGATTCCCTTGTAAGCTAGCCGGCCGTCGTGCGGCCAACTCCAATAATATACGGGCTCGACATTGCAAAGCGTTCTATCGTTCCTCCTGTCACGAATATCATAACAGAGAGACCTCGGTATAGAGAACGGCTTTCTACATCGGTAGAGACGCTTTGGGCTTAGCTTCGCCAAGCGTCTCCTCTGATCTGGCCAGCTGCTTGCCAGTCCAAAAATGACTTGTTCGCTGTGAATAAGCCCCAGCTCTAAGAGAGAACCTGTAGGAAATCAAAGCTAACCTTGGTCCTCAACTACGCACCTTAACGCTAGAGTCGAAGGCAGATTCATTAACGAACGAACTAACTAAAAACAAAAGACGGTGGGTAGGCTCGCAAGAATCTTCGTTTGGAGGCTTGATAACTTGAAGTTTTACGTCCTTATTATCAATATAGAAAGCCGTTCTCTACACTGAGCTCCTCTTTGCTGTGATATTTGTTACAGGAGGAACGGTAGAACGCATCAAGGTGAAAAATAAAAGCAGAGTGAGAACAATGATTGCTGCTTATGCTCTCGAAGATGGCAAGTAATATTTCATCTTGATAAAATGTTCAAAGATCAACTAACCGATATTAACAGACGATATTCCGAGCAGGACTAGCTAGGCCTTAGAAGAACTTAGGCTCTCGGGTTATAGATACTAATAACCTTGTCTTCTAAACACTAATATAAACTTGTACGCGGAGAGGAGAGATTACGGTGGTAAGTATTCAATACTCTCAGGCGTTAGTACCAGTTTTGATCCTTATTATCAGTATCATTATCACTGTCACTATTAAAGTCAAGCGGATAAAGTTCCTCATCAAGCTATAACTCAACGTATATAAAATCCATCATAAAGCCCTCCCTATATATCTCAATAACCCATATAATTCTCATCTAAACTCACCTACACTATTCCCATGCTATTCCCATCCCCGACTCAGAGAATGTATTCCTTCAGCTCATTCATTCCCGCTTAATACACGCCCGTATCAAACCCTTCTACCTACCTCTTTCTAATCTTCAGGCTTTTCCCTCCCCCAACCTCATCTACCCTAAACATCTATCCATCTATCCTTCTTCTTATCACCACCATCGTCAAATCCCTATCTGTATTCCCACATCTATACCCCTATCCCCATTCCCACACCTCTCTCCTCTCTCCATCTCTCTACAGCCCTCTTTACTTATTCATTCAACCTCAACCTTAACTCTCCCCCCCCCACCCCCCACCTCCCTAAAATATTGCCGCCCTCGAATGATAAAACCATAAATCCCAGTTTGGTTTCCCCTTTCAAGCCTCAAGAAAATAATCTTATTAACTTTTTTTTTTTCTTCAAAGCCAAAGCTTCTCGGCCTCGCTCGGTCAGGGAAGCAGAATCGTAACCGCGCCAGCTAGCTCTCCCTATCCCCTCTCCCTATCCCCAAATAGAGAGAGAGAAAGGGAGAAAGAAAGAAAGAAAGAGAGAGAGAGAGAATACGATGGTGGCTATGACTATAAATATGATTATAAGTATAATGATGATTATGACTATGAGTATCACTATAAGTATGACTATAACTATAATTACAAAAGAAAGAAAATCGAAGTTGAAATGGGTCGTTTATAGCACGACAAAAGGGAGAGGGAAAGACTCGTTCATTCGTTCGTCCGTCCGTTCGTTCGTTCTTTGTTTGTCTTTCTTTGTTTGTTTGTGGTGATGTGCTGTAGAGTTGATGAGGGGTTTAAGAAGTTGAGGAGTTAAAGTTGAGAATGTTGGTAGAGTTGAGGAGTTGAGGATTTAAGGATTTGAGGAGTTAAGGCGTTGAGGGTTTAAGAGTTCAAGAGTTCGAGAATTTAAGGGTTTCAAAGTTCAAGAGTTCCAGAATTTAAGGATTTAAGAATTCAAGGATTTAAGCATTTAAAAATTCAAGAATTCAAGAATTCAAGAGTTCAAGAGTTCCAGAATTCAAGAGTTCCAGAATTCAAGAGTTCAAGAATTCAAGAATTCAAGAATTCAAGAATTCAAGAATTCAAGAATTCAAGAGTTCAAGAGTTCCAGAATTCAAGAGTTCAAGAATTCCAAAATCCAAGAGTTCAAGAATCTCAAAATCCACGAAATCAAGAATCCCAGAATCCAAAGATCCAAGGACTAGATACAGTTAAAGAGTCGGGGACTTAAAGCGATATACTATACCGTACATACAATTAAATAAACAAAACAAAGCAAAGCAAAATCAACTAAGCTGTTTACATGTTAACACTGATATCGATATTAATTTTGATATTATGGGAGAACCGAGTCAATTCCCCAAGTAGGCTGGCTCTAATACCGGTAATCAATACACTTCTAAACCTTTTCGTTAAGTACATGTATATATGACCGAATCCCCCCCCCCTCTTCTGTTTCTATTTCTCTCTCTTCCTTTCTCTCTCTCTCTATCCATTTATCCATTCATCCTCGCCTCGCTTTCTCCCTCCTTCCCCTTTTAACTACTAACCCCCCCCCCCCCTTGAGCCTTTCCGCCTTTCCCATCCGAGAAAACCCCCCACTGTATTATCATACTACTACTACTACTACTACTACACAACTACTACTACACAACTACTACTACACAACTACAAACGCAGGAAGCACCACATCGCACATCGCACATCGCACGCAGCAGAGAGCTATCAGATCAATCTTTGTCAAGTCCAAGTCCAACCTCTCAACTTCAAATCCAAACCTGCAAGCCGTCAACCTATCCATCCATTCATCCATATCAATCCCCATCTCCATCTCCATTTCCATTTCCACACCTCGCCTTCTCCCCCCCCCTTCTTACCCTTCTACCCTTCCACCCTTCCACCCTTCCACCCTTCTACTCCTCCAAACAAACACCCTTTTTCTCAATCACACAACAATAACAACAAGAAGGGGGTATAATATTTTTTTATTTTTTATTTTATTTTTCTAAGTCGATTCGTACACGCCTAATTCTCATCTCAATCTACGAACTAATAATGACTTACAATCCCATCCTTGCAAGCCCACCCTTCCCCCCCCCTCTCCTTCCCTCCAAACGAAAATGAAAAAACCAACCAACCAACATGATAAAGAAATAGATAAAACAACAAACGAATCCTAACCCCCCCTCTTCCTCCCTCTTCCTCCCTCCCTCTTCC